AAAAGGAAGAGGAAGGGGAGACAAGTGGTGGGACCACTAAATAAGGAGGAAGGAGATCTAGTGACTGATATGAGGGAACAGGCACAGATGCTAAATGACTATTTTGCCTCTGTTCTCCCCAAAGCAGGACGGGGGAGATCCGCATAGGAGATTAGATGAGGCTGGGGACTTAGGGGCACAGATTAGAGTCCCCCCCCTTGAAGTCAAGGGGCTCCTCAGGGCATTGGACGTTACAAAGGCGCCAGGCCCTGACGGGTTGCACCCAAGAGTACTTAGAGAGTTGGCAGGGGTTCTCTCACGCCCGCTGGCCTCCATTTTTGAGGCTTCGTGGAGAACGGGTGAAGTTCCAGAGGACTGGAGGGTGGCATCAGTGGCCCCAGTGTAGGAAAAACAATGGAAAGGCTCGTAATAGAGAGAGATCTAGTGATGCTAGACAGGGAAGGGAGGCTGACAGCCACACAACACGGCTTCCGCAAAAACAGGTCCTGCCAGAAAAACCTTGTGGGATTCTATGACACGGTTTCCAGATGGCTGGATGGAGGGGGTGCAGTGGATGATGGTTTATCTGGATTTCAGCAAGGCCTTTGACAAAGTGCCCCATGGTATCCTGGCTGAAAAACTGAGGAGTTTTGGGATACACCAAAGCACTGTCCAGTGGATTAGGGCATGGCTGACTGACCGAAAGCAGAAGGTAACCATTAGTGGGGAATCATCGGGATGGCGGCCAGTGACAAGCGGGGTCCCCCAGGGCTCTGTCCTGGGGCCGATCCTGTTTAATCTTTTCATTAATGACATGGAAGAAGGGGTGAACAGTCTGCTGATCATATTTGCAGGTGACACTAAAACTGGAGCAGTGGTCACAACTGAGGAGCAGGTACCCCAGATCCTCAAGGATCTGGACAGACTGTGGAAGTGGGCAGGAGACAACAGGATGGCGTTCAATGTGGAGAAGGGCAAGGTCTTGCACTTGGGGCATAGGAATAGCTGTCATAAGTACAGGTTGGGGGACAAGTGGCTGGAGAGCAGCACTTGTGAAAGGGACCTCGGGGGGCTGGTTGACTGCAGGCTGAACGTGAGCCAGCCGTGTGACGCAGTGGGCAAGAGGGCGAACGCCACCCTTGGTTGCATAGCCAGAAGTGTGGCTTCTAGATCAAGAGAGGTATTACTGCCACTCTACACGACTCTGGTGCGCCCGCAGCTGGAGTATTGTGCTCAGTTCTGGGCCCCTCATTACAGGAAGGATATAGCCAGGTTGGAGTCAGTGCAGCGCAGGGCCAAAAGGTTGGTGGCCAGTTTGCAGGGGGAGCCGTATGAGGCGAGACCGAGGGAACTGGGTCTCTTCAGCCTGGAGAAGAGGAGACTCAGGGGGGATCTGTGGGCGACATGCAGGTATGTGAGGGGGTGTCACACGGAGGTGAGGAGAGACCTGTTCTCCCCTGCAGAGGAAGGCAGGATGTGCTCCAACGCAGCAAAGCTCAGGGAACCCAGGTTTCGTTTGGATGCCAGGAAGCACCTTGGAACGGAAAGATTGCCGGGGCTCATGCAGCCTGCTGACACAGATCCCTCCCTTCTTATACACATGGGAACAAAGGATAAAGGCCTGTATAAATGACACTCTGACTGGTCTGTGATTCTGCAATTTTGCA